ATAATTATTCTTAGATTAGTTTTCTTAGGGATAATAGAAATTATAGTTTTCAAAAACTCTATTTCAGCAATTACATCCTCGATTATTTTCATTTCCTCTTTATTTTTGTTACTCCAATCAGTTTTCGAAATTTTTATGTCCAATCTTTTAATCCACTTGGCTTCAGCTTATATTCTTCATAAATGTGTTTCTCCGCTCTTTCGGTTTCAATTTATTTTCTGTTGGACATAGCAGCATAGCATTTCCTATAGTAAGTCGTCTCACTTAAACCAAAGTTTTGATTTGTATTTGGATTTATCATCCCTTTCTTTTAAAGTATCCTAATGATATAAAAAACTTTATTGGAACTACAAAATGATTACACTCAATAAAATCAGTAAAGAAGACTGCAATATAATTCTAGTGCAGTTGAAAATAACAACGAAATTTCTCTGCCAAAAAAAAAGAAAATGAAAAAATCAAATTCCATAAATCCTCCCTAAACCCAAAGTGCCAGTGTACGTTGAAAATAGAAAACCTAAGTCTCACTAAAATCTTATGTTAAAAGCTCTGATTTTCTAACAATTTCAAAACGATTTTACTCATTGCAATTTTACTCATTGCGATTTTACTCATTTCCTAGATGTGAGATAACTACCCAACTTGTATTGCTGCTGTTTGGATTATACACATTCAAGGGAGGACTGCAAAAGGTAGACTTTTCTGAATTTAATTACCCCGAAGTATTCAAGTAGTTCAGTTCACAACGTGAATTATTTTATTCTAAATGCAGACTCTAACAAACAACATTCTAACGCAATTATCTAATCCTCAGCGTTGTTATAAATCTTTCTGTAATAGTAGGTACTGTTAAAATTCTGCTGACTTATTAATCTAATATTGGTTTTATTAAGAGTGCATTAATTTATCTTAATGATTCTTAATTAGTGTGCAATAATTTATCTTATATAATTTTATTTTGCTTATTATAACAACTAATAATATTTTTATTATTTTCATTATTGTTAATATATACTATATATTAATGAATGCATAATATCAATTGGTTTTGAATTTATCGTGATTAACTGTCTACTAATTTGTTTAACTTTTTTTTTAACTACAATTTTATTGTTTACCTGTAGTAGTAATTTGCTTATTGTATGTTGCTTATTATATGTATTGTTTGTTGCTATTTGTTATTCCAATTTTGTAATGTTATAGTGCGCTGCGGACGGTTTTTCCCCTTCTTTATTAGTGTTTATCTTCTTGCCATTAGCGCTAATTCTTGCAAGTAAACGAAGTGTTCTCACCTAATACCGTAACTTGAGTACTATTCTTACATTTGCTTTGTGTTCCTCTGACTCTCTTCATCGAACGAGTGAGCACTCTGTGCTAGGATTAGAACTTTAACAGGTTGAAAGACACACTAAGTATTTTATTTTTAAGTTAATATTACTATTTCATGTTAAATGGGGTCAAGAGAAACCTCCCCAACTAGATCAATTAGGACTACCAGCTCGAGGTGTGTGAGCCCAGTGAGATTAGACCATCCATCTTCCAGATTAGATAGGATTAACACTTTGACTCTGCACATCAAGTCACTTTTAGCAGAGTACAGAGGCCGTTCTAAACTAAAAATCGCAGACCACGAAGCGGTGTCCAATTATATCACAGAAATACTGGCTATAGCTTCTAATCAGGAAATCTTAATTGCACGACAGGAGGGACAAATACTTCAACTAGAACGACAACTTAATGCCAGTCTCTTCTCTCAAGCAAGAGAGCAGCACAGTTTTAAGGTCCCGGAGCTACAGGAAAACCATCCTACAGGACAACAAGACCGCCGGAGTTACGCAACTGTGGCCGGTAAGATTCAGAAAAAGAAGCCCCCTTCCATACAAGCAACAGCCATTCCCAAGCAAAAGCCTTCTGAGCACGTTTTACTTATCAAGGGGAAAGAATTAGAGAGCACACCAGATAGTGTAAAAGCGCAAGTTCTAAACAACATCAAACCTCATAAGCTTGGCATCAACATACAGCAAGTGAGGGCCACGAGATCTAAAGAACTCTTGATTAGGTGCAAAGAGGCCACACACCTGCACAAACTTAAAAAAAGTAATTGAAGAGTCCAGCGTGCTGACATAGCACTTAGAACTAAGGATTCCCCTTCCCCGTCCGTTTAGAAGCTCTCTCATAGTATTTGGGGTACCCCGGGACATAATGGCAGACGAAATAAAAGCAACATTTGAAGATCTTTTGCCAGAAACGCGGTCGCCAGTTATCTTTCCAAAAGGCTCGAGACCTAGGGACGAAACTAGCCTGTAATTGGATACTGGAAGTGACACAGCAGATTTCAAAGACAGGCTTCTCGACCACAAGCGGGTTTATATTGGATTTACTTCGTGTCCGTTTAGAGAATACGTAAAAATAACCCGCTGCTACAACTGCCAAACCTTTGGCCACCTAAGTAAAAATTGCAGATTCCCACCAGCCTGTACTAAGTGCGGAAAAGGTCATTTAACACAAGAGTGTACGGCAGAAGAGGAAAATTGTGCGAATTGTGTTCACTCCAATACGCATAATAGCACAGACTTTGACGCAAGTCATCCGGCAAGTTCTTCAAAATGTCCCGTGTACCGACAGGAACTGCAACGAGGCAGCAAAACACAGCAACAACGGATGTGTAGGCAGTAACCAATTCCGTCAACAAGTCACAGGACTCAGGTTTCTCCAAGCAAACCTGCAGAGAGAGCTAGATCTGCAACGCTTAACTTCATGGATATTATGACAAAGGAAAATGCGGATATCGCCCTCATACAAGAGCCGTACTTAGCACATAACGTTCCAGTCAACCTCTCAACAGGCTGTCATAATTTATAATGGTCCGCTATCTCCCCTCCTTACATCTCAGACGCAACACTCAGTTACCATTAAGCTAGAGACAACTACGGGACACCTTCAAATTACTAATGTGTACTTTCCAAGTGAGGAATTAGATCCACTATTAATAGAAATCAGCACTGTCGTCAGAAAAGGGAACAACCAATCTTATTAGCAGGTGATTTCAATGCTTCAAGTCCCTTATGGGGGGCGCAAGTGGAAAACGTAAGAGGCAAAATGGTTTTGGAATATGCAATGACAGATTCAGCATCATAAACACGTCAGACTCACCGCCCACCTTTCGCACTATAAGGGCGGAAGGTTGGCCAGATGATTTGATTTGCTAATTGTGAAGAAACCATGGTTAACATGGTTTCTTCACAATTAGCAAATCAAATGTCGGAATGGCATGTTATGGACATTCCCTCTCTGAGCGACCACAGAATAATCAGCTATCTAATGGGCGCTCAGTTAACTTATACTCTGAAACAGAGGTTCAAGACAGCTTATGGAGGACATCAGAAGTTCCTTAATCTGCTTCGTCCTTATGTAGATCAATTGATTTTCAACTTCCAAGCAAGCAACACCATAGACGGACTGGATGATGCCTACAGGCATTTAATTGGAACTCTAACAAGTGCAGCAAAACAAGCGTATAAGAAAAAAAACACCCAGCCAGAAGAAAGAACTTTCCTGGTGGAATGACAAACTAACGGCAAACAGAAGCAGAGTTCGGGCGCTCAGAAGACTGGCACAGTCAGAAACAGATCCCATACAAAGGGACCAAAAAATTCAGAAGTACAAGAAGTACAAGAATTGCACTTGCGCAATTCAAACTACAGATAATAAAGGCTAAATCCGACTCCTGGCAGGAAAACTGTATTAGAATACTGGAAATTTTGGAGAAAATACAAAAAATCGCCGCAGGTAAGGTCTTTAGACCCACTCAATTGACCGCGAATGTGGCCCCTGACGCACCAAATACAAGAAATATTCTTTCGGTAATACTGAAAACGGTTTTTCCTTCAGATGATCCCGCCAATGACTCAGAAACGCATACATTAATAAGGACGCAATTTCAGGAAAAATTCTGGTCTTCCAAAAATGGAGACTATCTCCCACCAACAATAGAGGAGGTAGACTTAATCATAAATGGTTTGGCAAGGAAAAAGGCACCGGGGCCGGATGGCCTAGACAATATAATACTCAAGGCATTGCATAATGAGTTTCCAGAGCTGATCCACTCAGTCTGCAAAGCATGCTGGAAAGTAGGACACTTTCCGAAAGATATGAAGCTGGCAGAGATCGCTCTGTTTCACAAAAAGGGGAAAGATCCCTCGGATCCGACCTCCTACCGCCCGGTAAGTCTCCTTTCCACAATTAGCAAAGTTCTAGAAAAATCATTCTAATGAGGCTAAATTATTTCCTGAATAAAAGTTCAGTAATTAATAAAAAACAGTATGGCTTCCGTGAAGGAATATCTACGGAACAGGCAGTAGCAGATCTCCTGAAAGTGCTGAAAAAGAACAGAGAGGAAGACAATCACTCAATAGTAATATCTATTGACATAAAGGGAGCCTTCGATAATGTCTGGTGGCCTGATGTAACAAAAGAATTAGATTCAATCAACTGCCCAATTCAGATCTTAAAGTTGATAAGGAGCTACCTTGAAGACAGACAAGTTCAAGTAACTACAAACGATGGAATAATCCAGCATAAACTGGAGAGAAGGCTGTCCACAGGGTTCCTGTCTAGGGCCAACCCTGTGGAACCTAGTAGCTAATTCAGCGTTCCAAATTTTTGAGATGGAGAGCGGAGTACATCTGCAAGCTTTTGCGGATGATTTCCTTCTAGTAACTTCGGGAAGAAAGAATATCGAGAAAATTACACAAAATGCACTAAATAGGTTCTTAGAGTGGGCACAAACACATAAACTTACGATCTCAGCAGAAAAAACTACCATGCTATTTATAGGGCGAAAAAGAGTAATGAAAAGAAATCCTACCATTAGACTCAACGGTAGCTCAGTAAAATGCTCTCCAAACATAAAATACCTAGGATTTATCCTCAACAATAATCTCTCTTGGATTCCCCACTTAAAAGAACTCAGGAAAAGATGTATCGCACTCACAAACACAATGCTACGCACAACAGGACTGCAGTGGGGAGCACCACCATGGGTGCTTAAGAGGTGGTGGTACCAAGCAATTACAGAAAGAATTGTTCTCTACGGCGCAGCGATCTGGGGAAATACACTCAACGTAAGCATGCGTAGATTACTCCTGTCCATGCAAAGGCTGCAACTCTTGCTCATCTGCAAGGGCTACAGAACTACTTCAACGACAGCTCTGCAGGTTCTGGCAGGAATTCCTCCGCTAGACCTGCAAGCGGAAAGGGAGTCGTTAATTGCAAGAGTGTTAAGGCTAGGTGAGGACGGAGTTCTATGGGAACAACACCACTTTGCTGAAGACTTTGAAAAACACAAGCCAGTGACGCAAGGACATCCGGCTGAAACACATCTAAAAAAGTGTATTCTAGGCCACTATGTGACACCAAAAGATAATCACACAGCTATATTTACAGATGGCTCAAAAACCGAGACGGGTACTGGCAGTGCCTTCTGCGTTTTAAAAGGTGATACAGTTGTGTATAAATGGAAAAGAAGACTTGGCAGTAGGAACTCAGTATTCCAAGCTGAGCTGGCAGCACTTAAAGCAGCGATTAATTATGTGAAGAGGAACAGACTTACCCAAATTACTATTTACAGTGATTCTGCCTCTAGCCTTGACGCAATCAAAGGTTACAAAAGCAGAAGCCAGTATGTCCAAGAACTTAGAAAAATCCTCCTCAGTCTTCTGCCATCAGAAAGGCCATGCCTCACGTGGGTTCCGGCTCACGTGGGCATTAAAGGCAATGAGGAAGCAGACACCCTGGCAAAAGAAGCGGCAAAGGAGGTCTCAAGAACAGAACTGCCAGATAAATTACCTAGGTCTCATCTCAAAAAGATCACTCTAAAACAACTGATAGACAGATGGCAAGCCAGATGGGACACAGCGGATACAGGAAGGAGAACATATATGTTATTCCCAAAAACAACGCTAGAGTTAAATTGCAATAGTGGTAGTCAGACACAGTTTTATACAGGTCATTGCCCATTCCTGACCTATCTGCATAGAATCAGCCTGAGTGACACAGAAAGATGTCAATGTGGAGAGGTAAGGGATCCAGACCACTACGTCTTCCACTGCACAAACACGACACAATATCATATAAGAAAGCCAAGTCAACCTTACTGGCCACAATGGGCGGCAAATATGAGAACAAACAAAGCAGCAAATAAAAAGCTACAAGCGGTAATCAGCCATTGTCAGACAAAGTATTCTCTAATACGACGATAATTTTCCCCAAATCGAAATAATCAAGTGCTTAGCGCTCTGAATCATAAAATGTACAAATCAATCTGATAAGTATGCGGGGCACACACCTCGAACCTCTCAATCCAAGACCAACTTAGATAATTAGGACTATGGCAACAACCTGCCTATATTCTTTAAAATTTTTACTTTTGCAATTAATGTACAGGTCTAGGACTCGCAAGACCAGATTGAGCCAGTAAAATCGCAACAGCAATGAGTTTTTCCTACACTTACTAATCGTGTATTTAAATTACAAGTTTGTGATAAGTAGGTTCAAGAAGGGCAAGGTCAACTTATGTTATCACCTCAACTTAAGTTTGTGATTGGTATGGCATTTTTGCCTTCTTAATTTTAATAAATATTCAACTTTTTATGTAAATTTTAGGGAAGAGATATCTGTATTTATGTGATCAATTGCATGTTTGAATCTCTCCCTAGTGATCAGCATTACGTGCTTAATTATGTTTTTTATAAATTATGTGCATGTTCTAAGGTGATAAAAGTAACTATGGAATTAATGTAGGTAAGGTTCTCTTTGTAATTATGTATCAGCATTATGTATTCAAGTGTTTGGAATCAGATATCAGTTTTACTGAGTGTGGTGCTGTACTTTTCTGTTTATGTTCACTTTAAGTTACTCAAGTCTGTATTTATTACTTCTCTGCATAAAGGTCAGTTCGTACTTGGCTAGGATTTAGACTGCATAGCATTACTTAATGATCAGTTTTATGTATTGTGTTTATCAGTTTTAGTTTTAGTCCTCATGTATTACGTATGCATTTTTAAGTGTTATGTATGCAGGCATCAGGGATCAGCTTTCTGTATTTCTGTACTGAGTATCATGTTAGTTTTTCACTTTAATATTCAGTTTTGTACTTATGTATGTATTGCCCTGTCTGCAAGTACTACGAAAGAAAATGTAGGTGCTGGTTCAATTTGTAAAATAACTACAGTTTAAGTTTGCGCAAAGAACTAAATTATGCAGGAATTTGTTATCTTAGTGATAACAGGTACACAATCTTTTAAATGTTCTTACATAAGAGTCAGGCACATGGAAAGTAATCTGCTTTAAATTATGCTTGGGTGCTAGGATTTTTTCAATCATTTTTTAATCTCTCTCTTTTTTAAAAAAAATTACTATGTGCAATAATTTAATAGGTTACATCTTTCCACAATGCAGGACCACCGACTTTACAAAAACCCCATAAATATATGACAGTTATGTCAGGATGAGCACCCGCATGTAGACATTTAGCAAGTCCAGAAAATCCATGGCAGTTACATTTTTAGGCAGAGTCCTCCTATCTTTACTTTATCTAACACAAGTTTCTGTCTATTCTAACAGTTTTACTGAGTGATTCTTAACAGTCTTTTGATTGCTTCTTTGCTTAATTTTAAGTAGTTCCTAAGAGGATACTCTTTCCCCGTACAACAACTTCCAAGCTTACATGTAGCCTTTATGAGGCTCTTAGCCGTCTATTCGGCTGCGTTCCCTGAGCAGGGTGGAGCAGAGAGTAGATGGTTTCTGCCAGGAAGATAACACACTGTGAGGCTAAGGCCAGGTCAGTGGTCTTCCTTGGTGGCGCTCACTCACTCACTCATTGCAATAAGTAAAAACTGAGATACAGATTTTTTATACCTAAAGATGTTATCAAAAACCCTTTCCCAAAAAAGGAGCAAGTTACATAAATCTCTTTCCAGGACTGAAGCGCCTCTTTCTGAAAATATGTGAGTTCCCAATAGAAAATTTTAGACATGAAAAGTCGCGCACAATCTTAAGCTCTTTCCCTGGTTTAATCCAAAAGCTGCGGCTTATTTTATTATTTATTCAGATTGATTGCTTTTTAACGCAGCTCACTAGTCTACTTTCGGCAGCGCAGGCCACCAGTCAACTACTCATTTTGGAAAATGGCCTCTATCTTTCTTCCCATTTTATGTAGGATTAGAGCCAAGTCCTCAATAAACTTCCGAAAGTTATCAAATTTTATTTCGTTTACCAAATATGTCGTCAGCTAGTCGCTAAGTTCAAAATGCTGAAGGATGGTACCTTGCAATCTATTGAAACTGATTAAGAGATGTGCATAATTAAAAGCCTAACTTTCAAAGACAAAAAACAAAGAATTACGCACACAACAAAATATACGTATTTATATGAAAATAACAAATGCTAAAATAAATTTAGCAAAATTAACTAAAATTAATAATAATTACAAATCAATATTTAAAGAGTTTTGATAACTATAATTCACATTTTTGTAGAATTCCCCTTTTTTTCCTAATTAACACAATAAATTTTCCTTTTTCAAAAATAGCTCAAAGTCTTTAGAAATTAGCATTTATCCTCCCATCTGGGGAACATAGTGATTTAAAATATTTATTTTTCTTAAAAATTCAATGGTAATCAGTCTGTCGATTATTTTTTCGCTAATTCAGTGTTTACTTCAAGCGGCTCCATAATCATGTTCACTCTTTCGTATCAAGTTTATAACGCGAAGTTTTAAGTTTACCGTTTATGAACTGCGAGAGTTAGAAAGCCGTGCCGCTTTTAAGTAAGGCACAATTTTTCATTCTATATTTTCGTCGAAAATCAGGTTCTTAATACGAGTTGTTAATTTTTTCATTTGATCTAAAATCGCATATTTGTATATAAAGTGTGACATATCAGGTGATTCAAAACTAGACGAATAAACTTCTAAGAAATACAGGGACGACTCGGAATCACATAGTAACGCAAAGTTGGAAATCCCATCCTTCAATGGTCAGAACTTTGAACATTTATTTCGAATTGAAACTGTACATGAATTGTAAATTATCGCTAAATAAAGAATTTCCACCCATTACTGGCTTGTCATTTCTGTATCTTTGCTTATCTTCCAGCTGATCAGAGATAGTAAGAAAAAAGTTTGTTGGAATTCATCGTCATTGCAAACTGGAATTTAAGTACCATAAAAATTAGTCCTGACGCTCTTGATGTTGAATGTCCCCGGCGTTTCGCAATGTCATTGTATCTTAAACATTTTAAAATGTACTGGGGGTTTCGAAATGACGCATCTTCGTGGCAATCCTCATCAGCATCCATCGGACGTTGACAACGTCCGACGGATGCCCGGCGTATTTCAAAACATCCGAGATTCCATGGAATGCTCACGTTCGGGTAGCTTCATTATCAGAAAAGTAATGACTTATTTTAAGATTATGGTCTTTAGACTTCAATTTGCGATCCAGGTGTATTTATATTTTCCCTCCCAACATTGCGTGTGGCTCCAACACTTCTCGTGTGGCTGTTGACGATTTTCCTGCAACAGCCGCTAAAAGCACCCCTCTATCAAAAGAATCAAATTAGCAGCGTGGCCTTCAACAGGCGGAACACGCTGTCATTCTACCCTCTGAAATCTCCCTTTAAATTGTTTCTCATTTGAATGCACGCGAGCTAGAAATTTACAATCTGAGAGGAAAACGGGAAACGAGAAGGACAGAAAAAGAAATTAACATGAAATAACTGGTTAATGAATTTAAATGAAGCCTTACAAAGACTATAACTGAGTATCATCAAAGTCGGCAAAATTCTCGGAGAAGCATAATAAAAATTTGGTATTCGTTGCGATAAATTTTTAAATCGATAAGGAAACTATGTAGAAAAATAAATTGCATAAAAATATAGAAAAATAAATTGTATTTAAAAAATAATTGTCTTTAAATTTTTGTTTCATTTGTATTTCGAAACAGACCTTACTTAAACAAATAATCCTCGCATTTTTTAATTAATGCATCTTTTCATCAAAACTGTCCAAGTTACGCTATTTGTACTGGGAATCAATTAAATGTAGTATGAGCTTGAAATCCGTATTTGTTACCAGTAATTTTTTAAATATTCATAAATTAAAGATATTACGCGATTGGATTAATTTCTGTTTCATTGTAGCCTTGTTTATTAATAATAAACAACAGAAGTATTTAAAAAGTGTCAAACTGTCTTGCGAATCAGTGAGTTTTTTTAGCCCTAGGGACATTAGCCCAAAAGGGCTATCAATCTCGAAACGGCATTTTGCGTCGAATCACTAAAAGTGTTGAATCACGTTTCGATTTGTTGCCATCAAATTTTATTGTACTTAGATTAAATAATGAAGAATCTGCATAAATGTATGTATGCTTCTCGCATTATCAAAAATCAACGGTACTTAGAGCAATCAAGTTTTGAATAACGTAGCCCTCCACTTAAATATGGGCACCTCGAAGGCCAACTTTTGAATTTAGAATTGGTTTTCATATTTTGCAAAATTGTAACAAAGTTTTGATTAAAAATTTCAAGGATTTCAAAAAGCAGTGGCTACACTATGCGGCATATACATTGTGCACGACATTGTGTATCGAAAATTCTAAAAATATGATGTTTTAAAATATTTTAAGCCCAAATGCTCTCCAAACGTGTGTGCATAAATGAAAAAACGCCCCTATGGGCGTAACGTAAAATCAGAAAGCTTTTGGATATTGTTTTTTTGTCCAAAGGGGCTTTGTCCCTGAAGAACTATTGTTTTCGTTTTGCGATTTTGCGTTGGTTCACTATAAATGTCCGCTTCACTTTTCGAACTGTTACCACCAAATGTTAGAGTCCTGCATTATATTTGAAGAAATTAAATAAGGAAAAACCTGCATAAATGTATGTATATTTCTCGCATTGTGATAAAACAACGGTCAGCTATCGAATTTTGATTGACGTAATCCTACTGCGAATATGTGGAAGCACAAAATTAAAATTTGGAATTTGTTTTATTATCGATTTCATATTTTATAAAACTTTAATGAATTTTTTATAAACAAACTGAAGGATTTCAAAGCGAGCAATGGCAACGTTGTACAGAAAAAACATTTTTATCTCCAGCGCGCGAGACTCTGTATCGGAAATTCTAAAGATATGCTGAATTTAAAACTATTTTGAGATATTGCTCTTGAACTGAATTTTATGGTTTAAGTGCGAAGAACGTAATATTTAATAAATAAAGGTAACAGACAAAATGTTGAAAAACGCCCCTTTGGACGTAATTTAAAATCTGAAACTTTTTTTTTTTTTTTTTTTTTTTTTTTTTTTTTTTTAACACTCTCACATTTAAGGAAGCGGCTTGATCTAGGTCCAAATACAGTCAAAAATACGTGAAAAGAATGACTCATTTCCAACTTGCTTGATGAATGTCTCGGTTGAACCTGAATCAGTAATTCATCAAACAAATCATCGAATAAAAATACTGCGGTGACTGATAATAGCTCTTTCTTCATAGAAATAAATTTACTGTTGATGGTGGCTACTGTAAATAATGCTATGTTTGATTTAATTGTCTATTTTAGTAGGCTCAGCTTACCGATCTACTGAAAACAAAAATTCTTAAATGTTAAAAAAATTAACAAATAACGAATTATTTTCATTTCGAACAACAGAACTTGTGTTGTGTTGTTGTTGTCGTGTCCATATTACATGGAAGAATGGTTGCCAGGGCCTACTCCAGGCAGAGGTTGGACTTCTATTTCCCACACCTCTCCCCTTCCACTAAACTACACGACAGGACTTTCGGCTCGCCGCATATTTGCCCCCATGGCTCACGGACACTATACATTTACTAACATCTATGTCTTCTCCGAAATTCGAATCTGGGCCCATCGGTACCGCAGTAGGCTTCTCTAAACACTATACCGTCTGGGCGACACTACAGAACTTCAGCAATGTAATTCGAAGTTTGTACTTTGAAGGAATACTTGAGTTTTGAATTACTTTTATAGTCTGTGATTTTTTGTTATAACTCGGTCAGATCTCTAAATCCTATTTCTTATTTTCTACAGATTAAAAATGTAGCTTTAGGATGCTAAAATCTCAATTCTCCACAGATTAGGGAACTGTGACTTCGACTCGTCAACAAAACCGCTCCCGGTTCGAACATGTAAAAAGATCTTCCAGGTGTTGCCATTTTTACGGCTTTCTATTCCTGGAAAGCGCGGGAACGGCAGTTTTCACAGGAGTGGAGAAATATTTCAAACTAGGTCTACCTTTCCGTGCACTTCTAAAGTCGGTTTGAACGAACGAAGCCGCCATTTATCGTTCTGAGAGATGAAACCCATCACGGCTGATGGTTCTCATGCTTCAAGATTCGAGAAGTTTATTCTTAGTCCTTTTTCGAAGGAATACGTAATGGTGTGGGGTGCACTAAAATTCTGCGATTTTGACCATTTCGTTATTATTGTTTTGCATATTTAGAGTTGAAGCAATCGTAAAAAATTCTAATTTAATATTTTAAAAGGGACACAGGTTTTGGCACAAATCAAATTCGATAACTTTTTATGATTTTCTGTGCAAACTTTTACGTGAATATACAGCCTCACTGCATGTTTATTCACACGCTGCGACTATTTTGGCTACAGGTAACGATGAAACCATCGCAAAATTGTTTTCATTATATTAGTTTGAAATAAAATTTCGTACTTGGCAGATGAATTGTAAAATACTGGAGCAATATTTCACTATCCGAAAATGCTAGCAAAAATGCATTATGAATCCATAGCAAGAAGAAGTCTGTTTATATTTTAACTTTCTGGTTACAGCATATATCATTTGTTACTGTAAAGACATTTGTATAAATAAAATATTACTGTAAATATATTACTACATTTTTACTAAAAAAATTTCGTGCGAAAGATTGTATAAATGGTGTGTGTACAACGAGTATAATATTTCCAGGAAATGTGCTAATTTTTCTCCTATGGTCCTACTATCAAGTTTAATTTCACAGCATAAAATTTTCGCTATATTGAAATAATGCTTAAAAGTCTATTCATGCCGCAATCACTTTCTCAAAATTAAAAAAAAAAAAGTGTAGAATTTGGCATTTTTTTACGGCAAAATAAAAGGTTATTCATTGACATTGAAAAATGTAAAGTCTAAGCGTAAACTCCTTTGCTTCTTAGTTATACACATTATTATCCACTAATTATCTTTTTAACATTTTTACGGGAAACTAACCTTCGCTTAGCGTTTCCATCACTTCCAACTTATTATAAATGAGCTGACTCTGCATGCCTGTGTTAAGGAGAAATTGTTAATAATTCATCGTACTGTTATGCTTTGGTATTATTAGTTTTTGTTGACAGAAATAAGAGGAAATTCGAATTTTTTCATTAATTATAATTTACAATATATTTTACAGGTTTTAGATCTGAAAACCTCTTCTCTGCAGCTACTAATTCTGAAATAAATAAACATATTCCTAGGATTACTCATACGTATCTTGTAAACAGTGCATGTTAATGTAAGTTGCAACTTTTTTTAGTATTTATGAAATTTCCTGAAAGGTCTTATATGTTTCATGTTTCACAATTTTGTGATGGTCTCCTCAGCATTAATAAAAGGTTTAGTATTTTACCTTTATTAATGCACCGCGTGAGAACAGCTTATACGCAATATATATTACGCATGAGAACAGCTTGTTGAACAGCTCGTGACAATAGCTCTAAATCGGCACAATAGGCTTTTGTATGTATTCCCTATACTTAGAACCAAGCTTGCGTGTCACTAATCAAAAACTGAGTGGAAACTACTGTTTATAGAGCAGTGTTTTTTAATCTTTTTGGTAAGTGGAATCCTTTTTAATATTCACTTTTATCGCTGAACGACCGTTTTGCTTCAATAGTATGATTTTAATGAAACATTCTGTAAAAGGATTATTTGCAACAAAAATTACTACTATTTCAAATAATATTTATTTGCTTCAAAATGTAATTTCAAAATTAACCCCCCAAAAGTTCTTAAAATAATCTACTCAAACGGAACTTTTAGGTTTAAACTTTAATGAGATTGAGTGTAACTTCTTTTTATTATCGCAGATATACTAGTAGTAACCGGGGGTAACCGGCCGGCGGAAGTGACGTCACAGAAAAGGGGCGTGACCTCCGTCATTTTGAATTTCTCCGGAAGTGACGACACCAGCGCCATCTTGTATCACGTGATGGAATGACGTAATCATGTTGAGTTTCGTTTTGATTCTGTGGCAACGAACTCTTGAACCACGTGTTTGGAATGACATCATCTATTTCTTGTTGCGACATGTTGCTTTACAAAATAGCGTCTGCCGTATCACACCTTTGTATGCCTCCGCTGAGGTGCATGGATACTTTTCTGTGAACCAATCAGATTCTTTGAAATATGACCTCACCGTTTCTTAACCAATCACCGTTCAGATGAAATAAAGAGTTCCTGCCCGATATAAGGCTATCCCGAGCAACGTTCCGCATTTCTTTCCTGCTGTCGCCTTGAGTGTACGCACATATTTTGCTTGGACTATCATTGTTAATTTCATCAGATTTTTGTTTCTTCATCGTTTTGAACATGAATCCTGGACAGCCACGAAACCACATCGCTGCAGAGGTAAGTTAAGTTTTTTTTTTTTTTTTTTTTTCAAAACATACTGTTTTTAGAGTTTCAATCTATAGGAAAGTTTATTTTTGAATTTGCAATGTGTGCTTAATTTGCCTTTACTTTTCAGACGGAAAACCTGCCTGAGAAAGAATCCATGCCTTTGAATGATAAAGTGGAGGACTGCAATCTTTTTCGAACGCGAGATATCCCTTGCACCAAAAGGAAGGCAGAAGAAACAAGCCATTTCGAGAAAAAAGTACGTATTTGTAAAAAAGGTTCATATGTTAAAGTTGATATTGTATGTGACCTCATTTTTGTGTATGTTTTTTGTCTACCAAATGACTGACAATTTTTTTCTTTCAGCGCAAAGGACTTTTTACTGAAGACACTATTCCAGAGGAGCTTACTCACATGGGAAACAATGTCTTTGTGGGACCCAGCATTTACAAGGGAAAAGTTACTGTGCACATTCGAGAGTATGCTAAATATGGTAAATCGTACTATCCGACAAGACGTGGAGTGAACTTTGAGCCATGGTGTTTGAATGTTCTCGCAACCAACATGACAGTGGAGGAACCAGACCTGCTGACACTGAATCTGGAATTGCCCAAGAATTTTGTGGTCACGTATAAAGATTCCCACTTCACTTTGAAGCAACTCTCTTCGACAGGAGAGGCAAAATGTAGCCTCAGCATTACGACTGCGCAGTGGGAAGAACTGATGACACATTTTAGCCGTATCAGTGACATTGTCACCAACCTCGTTTATCAAAATATGAACTTTTGTGAAGCCTATGAAAGCGTATCTGACGAACCTATTAACGAGGAAAATCTTCCAGAATCCTTCGATCTTTCCATGGGAAGAGCACGCCTCGAAACCATTCTAAAGATGTCGCTTGAAGAGCTTCTTAACCAACAAGAAGAACTAAAATATCCCCAGCGCATAGACTGTGAAGAACTTGTTCATAAGACAGAAACTGTGAATGCCATTGCTCTGAGATTCAATGCTGTTGACATCGCCAGACAATTTTACGGAAATATTTGGGGTGAAGAATCCTATTTAATGTTACTGAAACCTGCTCACTACATTACCAAGGACTTTTTAAAATCTGTGTGTTTAAACCATGTACTCGACGAAGTAAAAAACACATTTTGTACTACGAATGGTGTCTTAGGTATTGAATACTATGAATATCTGTAAATTAATTATGATGTTCAATAAAAAATGTTATTTTTATTTTACAATGGCCTCATTCTTTCAGACATTATTTAAAAGAATTAATCTGTAATGATTACTCACATAAATTATTTTCAAAATACCTGTTGACTTTTATAGAGTATAAATAGTGTTGTTATTCTTAAACATGTATCATTCATTATTCAGCCTTTGAGATGTTAAGTAACATTCATTTTCTCTCTTGTTTTTTATACCTATTTCTAGAATCTTAATATACGTCAAACTAGGGTATTTTTTTCTGTTCTAGTTAAACATATATAAATGAATATCAGTGTACGTTTAGATCATAACAACTGTTGCAATGAACGCAGCTCTGTCTCAGACCTATCGGGATCCACAGGTAACCGCAAGTTTCGGGGGTGTTGCTGCTTTGCATCGTGCTTTAAAAGTTCGCGTAAAAACAAAAGAGATCCAGAAATGGTTGCAAACCAAGGATTCTTATACTTTGCACAAGCCTTTGAGGCCCACGTTTCCCAGGAACAGAGTCATCGTAGGAGGCTTAAACGAGCAATTTCAATCTGATTTAGTGGATATGCAATCCCTGGCCTCTTTTAATGATGGATACAAATATTTGCTGACCTGTATAGATATCCTTTCCAAATACGCTTGGGCTATCCCTCTCAAAGATAAAACATCTGTGTCCATCCAATCCGCTTTCGAAAAGATATTTTCGGAACGTACACCCGAATCATTACAAACAGATGCAGGGAAAGAGTTTACCAATAAACAAGTTCAAAATTTTTTGAAAAAGAGAAACGTTCGTTTTTTCACGACACATAATACAACCAAAGCTTCTGTCGTAGAACGATTTAATCGAACTCTGAAAACAAAAATGTGGAAATACTTTACCGAAATGAATACACGAAGGTATATTGATGTGATTGATAAATTGATATCCAGTTATAACCATACATGGCATCGTAGTATTAAGACAGAACCTGTATCCGTTACATTACAAAATCAAGAAAGAATTTGGAAAACATTGTACGGACAGCAACCAGTACAAAACCCTATTTCTTCAGATTTAAAGATTGGAGATACGGTACACATCAGCCGAGAAAAAATGCTCTTTGAGAAAGGCTACGAACAAAACTGGACAAGAGAAATTTTTACAATCTATAAAATTATTCGACGGATTCCTGTTGTCTATAAACTGAAAGATCTAGCAGTAGAAGTTATACAAGGAACCTTTTACAAACAAGAACTTCAAAAGGTTTCGGACTCTGGTTATTATCCCGTAGAAAATGTTTTAAAAAAGAGGAAACGTCGAGGGAAAATAGAATATTTTGTGAAATTTCAGGGGTACCCCGAAAGCTTCAATGCTTGGGTGGATGATGTGAGAAGGGTATAAAAGGCCCGTACATTCTGCTTATCTGTCATTTGAACGAAACATGTCTTTCTTTATTATACTGATCAGTGACAGCTCCATGCGCTTTTTCCCAGACAACAAAATATCACAATTTACCACTCAGCTTCCTACTCCGATGGATTTAAATAATCAGTGGGAATTAATTATCTCTTGTGGACTTTATTTACCCTCACACGTGGTATAACGTCCGAATAGACAATAATTTATTTGGATTTGTCAATAAATCATTTAAATAAAAGCTTCGTATTCTGCTGACATGGTCGAAGGTCGTGCATTAACAATAAATGGGTTTTTAACATGCAATTAATTTTGATTTATAATCTTCTGCTCATTTGAAAAATACTGATTAAAAGCTTAACTCAAACCTTTCAGATGCTGAATAATTTCTTTAATAAATGTTTCCTCTCTTTAAACCCCTTCCTCTTCTAAAAGGCTTTTTATTTTTGGAAAGCAATCAGTCATATGAGTGCACGCAAATTGTCCAAAATTCTATCTTTTTCTTGAAAGCAAGAATTATTTCGGGAGCAGTAATACATTTATTTGTTTGCCCTGAATTTAACTCTTCAAATTTTACTGAGATGTTCATTGATCTTGTTAAAATTCTGGCTTTCTGCTAATATCGCTTTCGGTCAAGTAATCGACTTCAATTCGAAAGTGAGTTCTAAGAAGAGGCACGCACCTGGTCGCTCAGCTCAAAATACGGATTAACATCTTCCTTCGAGATAATCATTTGAAAAAGTAACCATGTAAAAGAAGAGATGTATCTGCACATCACATGTCCTCATGTCTATTTGAATAAATTATTATTTAGTGGCCAAGACTTTATGAAGTCAGTGACTTCATTCATGACTTCATCAAAAGCAGCTCATCAAGCTCATCATCCCAACCTCATCAAGCTAGGGGATAATTAGCCCAAAGGGAAATTTGTCCAGAAGGGCTATTCATTTGCGTTGGCATTTTGCGTTGGTTCACTATAAACCGTGTTTCACTTTTCAAATTGTTGCCACCAAATATTACAACCCTACATTACATTTAAAGAAATTAAATAATGAAGAATCTGCATGAATGTATGTACGTTTCTCGCACTGTGGTATCTAGAGACATCCAATTTCAAATATCGGCATCTGGAAGCCCAAATTTGGAATTTGTTTTACTATCTATTTTATATTTCGTAAAACTTTAACGAATTTTTGATTAACAAACTCAAAGATTTTCAAAGCGAACATTGGCAACACTATACGGAGGGAAGACATGCTTATCTCCAAGCCGCGAGACTGTGTATCGGAAATTCTAAAGACATGCTCTTTTAAAATTATTTTGTGATATTGCTGTTGAATTGAATTTTGTGTTTTAAGTGCGAAGAACATGGTATTGAATAAATTACGAAACACAAAACGTGAAAGAAACGCCCATTTGGTAGTAATGTAAAATCTAAAAAGTTCAGTTTTTTTTTTTTTTTTTTTTTTTTTTTTTTTTTTTTTTTTTTTAAAGAGCGTGCCTGCCTATGCATAATGCAATGCTTACGAGATATTTTGGAGATATCTTTAATAAGCTGTGCAGCCCCATTAATTATCCTACTCATGGCATTTGTTCCATCAATACAGATGGTATCTGTAAGTGAGAACATGAGAGTTTGTCTGTTATCCGGCTGTATTTCCTTTTAATTTACATTATGGTCGCCGGTATCTGTAAATTTAATCATCGAAAAATGAATGTTTGTTGTTATCCAGTTGGATTTCCTTTGAATTCACGTTATGGTCTCCGAGGCATTGTTTTTTTTTTTTTTTTTTTTTTTTTTTTTTTTTTTTTTTTTTTTTTTTTTACTTCTAATCTTATGGAAGAGCGTGTGTGATGTAATGTTATAATAACCAGTAAAGTTTATTAATAAGCGAAAAATTAAGAAACTTCATACAATAACAAAATACAAAAAAATAATATAAAAATACAAAAATACAGTCATATTATATTTTATATGATACACATTGACAACTGACTATTATCCAGGCTACTCGCAGTACCCTTTTATATTCAACTACACGGGATTCCCATATATTTCTAGATATGTGCGATTCCCTAGGTGCAGCGATCGATAAAGAAATGAGCCGAGAAATCGTGGATAGAGATTCCCTAGCGCGGTTGTTGTAGAATACCAAATATTGTCTCGACGACGCCATCATAACCCGCGAATTTGGATTGTCTCATTTACATCAACCATCAAGTAAGTGAAAGCGGCTATTAGTTCTTATTCCTTTTTTAAAATTTACTAGAAGCGTTTATTTCCAAAGCTTTTTTTAAGTTGCTCCCTTGAACATTATGAAAAAAAAAAGCGCGTAAGTTCCGTGGAACTTTTGAATGACATCCATGGAACCCTAGAGTTCTGTGGAACGTAGTTTAAGAAAGACCGTTCTAGAGCATAACTTAATATGCATTAATAATATTATACTGTTCTAGAGTAGAACTTAATATACTGGCAAAAAACTCAATTTTCTAGTGTAGCAGTGGTTTAGAAAGTCTTTGACTGATCGCAGTTCGTATGAAAACTACCTTTTCGTGATTGGAATTCAAGAAAAGATTCTTTCATTAACTCATTGCACTACGTAATGTTAAACAGACTACCGAAATGCTTATTTATGAACCTAAAGAAAAGTAACAAAGATGTTCGTTTCCTCTTTTTTTCTTTCATCTCCCCCCAATGGGAATATTTTAGCAAACGCTTGTTTTGGGTTCAATTTACCTGTCGTAGCTCGTAATATGGACTGAATTTTTTTTTTAAAGTTTAAGCTCTAAACTTAAATTAGAGAAAATGTACTGGGATAAAATTATCGTAATTATGAAAATTATCGAGGAGGGTGAAGCAAAACATCTCCTCATATATGCGAAGATATTTTCCGGTCATTCTCCCTTCTGTATAACCTCAGTCATGAGTTAAATAACTTAAATTTATAGTGCACCATCTGATAAAAGAATCAACACCGCTGTCCTGAAATGTATATACTTCGCCTGATACTTCTGCTGTAACAAATACAGAGCCCATACAAGGATGATAAGATCAAATAATATCTATATTCCAATAATGATAATGAAAGTTCGATAAATCGGACGTTCCGTATCGCCGTTATCTTAATCGATAATACGCTTCCGAATGAGTTCACACTGCTTTCCGAATTATCTGAGATGATACCAGCTGAGCTGCTTGTAGCACACTTACATTTTCACCCCTTTCTCCAAGGATTAGCATTCAATAATAAATCAATAAAGAGACTGCAAGAGAATCCACTGCCACAAAATTCGTTCGTGAAGACTTCAGATAATATTTCTTGGCACTTCGCAAATTAATTTTTGTAATCTAGTTTGATTTTACTTCACCCGCAAGCTCTTTTATTAATGCTGAACATTAGTATATTCAATATTTACGCACTTTCTAAACTTTCTGCATTTTCTTGCTTTTTTTTTAATACGTATTTATTGCCTGTTCATTGCATAGGATATTCTGGCTACATTAAATAACGTAATGAGGGTTACAAGATGATCGCGATGATATGTGATTTAAGGAACTGTAGATTTTAAACTTATTGACACACTTAAAGAAAGAGCCTGCATGCAAATGAATTCT